AGGGAAATGTCTGCATGCAAACAGAGCATTGTTACAAAAACAACACAGACTGTAGAGAAGAATCGGATGTTTCTTTAGATTATTTTTAGTTGCTATCAAAGACAGACGAAGAGGAGTTAAAGTTGAACTAATTTTGTTTTAATAAACAGAGACCAGCAAGTTAATTTTATTAATGAGTTCCCCTTTGATGTCACTTCCTGTTTCACTTTGGCTGAGCCAAATTCAAAAGAAAATAGGCCAGTTACTGTATGTGACAAAATGGGTAAAATCATGTGTCCTCGGTCAATTTTATTAAGTATAAAGATGCTTTCTTTGACTTTTTGTCTTTGAAGGATAGACATGTCACAGGTACCTTAATTAAAATGCCTGACAACACAAAAAATTCAGTTCAAATTCAAAAATACTTTATTGATCCCAGAGGGAAATTAGTTATTGTTGTAACTCATTTAATTAAAGAGTTATTGTAGATGCTGATGGCTGTGAGCAGGAAAGATCTGTATTAAAACAAAATTGAAGAAGAAGACACTGTTTTTAGGATGGTCAGGGTTGTCCACGATGTTCTTGATTTTATGTAAAATCCTTTTTTTGCACTATCATTTCCAGAGGTTCCACAGTCATCCCCAGAATAGAACCAGCCTTCTTTATCRGGTTTAGTTTTTTTAGTTCCCTGGCTCTGATGCTCCTGCCCTAACAAGACAGAAGAGATGACGCTCTGAACARGACGAAAGAATATCTGCAGCATCTTGCTGCAGATATTGACAGTGTGATTCATCCTGTTTTCATTTAGTGTTGGAAATACTATTTGCATTTCCCTTTTTTGTCATAATTTATTTGAATTTTATTTAAAACAAGGGCATTCATTTTCACAAAGTGGCCCAGTACTAGGTGTTTTAGCCAAATATTAATTTAAAAAAATACAATTGATCCCAGAGAATTAGATTACACCCCCAGTGTCTGATTTGAAATGTCACAGCTGCTCCATCCCAAATCCTGATTAGAATTTTGAACTTTACCTAAATTTTACAAATGATATAGTGGTACTTGAACAACATTTTAATACAGAAAATATTAAATATAGAAAGTCGAGTCCAAATAATGCTTTATTTTTTTTTTCTGGTTACGTCTGATTTGTTATGGATTTCACACATTTTAAATTTAGTATGCACAATTTAGGATTTTATTGTCTTTTTCTGACAACAAAACTACCAGAAGCCAAAACGGGAACATGTTTTGCATCAGATACCGTATGCCACAAAAAAGTAGCATAAATTATGTCTTACGTTTAGCCAGTCTAACAGCTGCATAAGTGGTGAGGTTTTAATGGCACAATGTAGAAGAAGCTCGTCAGTTTGAAGACACAAAACTTCCTGTTATTAGCAGAAACGGATGGTTTGTGTAAAAAAAAAAAAAAACCACAACACTTTTGTGTGGTATCCTGTAAGATAAGACACCGTGAAACGAAGGGTTATTTGTCAGTGCACCTTTATTTTCAGCTTCAAAACACAATTCTTTGTTGAATTGCAGCAGTTTCATGGGTTTGGCATTAATCAACATTTCTGCTGAAGCATTGTTGAGCAATCATATACTTAAAATATCAAACAGTTCTCAGATGTTAAGTAATTCTGCAGAGTACATTTTTATACAAACAAAAAAAAAAATACAAAAGATTTTCAGATCTTAGTTGCAACTACCTTTATACAGCTGCAGAACACCCACAAGGGTTATCAGTTCATCGTGTGTGTAATGTTATCACTCTGCTCAATCTTAATAAACAACTGTCGGTAGTATGAGAGTCTATATGCACCTCAAGAACACACAAAAACACCTTTTTGTGAGAAGATTTTTTTTTACAAACAGATAAACCATGACAGAAGAAAATAAACCAAAACAGCAGATATGTGAGCCATCATATCGAAATGAGGATTAAGTCAAATTTGGTCAAAATGACCTAATTACATTTTCAGATTCCTGCTTTAAAAGCTACATTTTGATACCTGGATCATTCTGATATCAGCTTATCCAGAGATATGACTTAATTTGTCTTGTTCGTTATGATAATACATTACTGTTTGGTCTGAATCCTAATTKTATGTAAATTTATTCAGTCATTTTTGATGTTAATATAAAGAGGAAACCTCACAGAGTATTTGTTTATTAAGATTTCCCAGTTGGAACGAAACAAAAACATTGCAAGGCTCACAGGGAAAAATAGAAAAATTTAAGGCGTGTTTTCTCAAAATCAGTTTTTTTGCTGCTGCTGCTCAAAAAAATGCTTCAAAAATTCTTTTTAGGGTTACATTTTAGACAATTCATTCAAATAATACACTGATAAGGCATTATTTCATTATGTTTTGACAAAATGAAAATTTTGCAGATGTTTAAATCAAAACCCCATCTGCCTATTTCTCCACATTCCACTTTTGGACATAATCCTTCTTTCAATATGATTTAAGGCGTGTTTTCTCAAAATCAGTTTTTTTGCTGCTGCTGCTCAAAAAAATGCTTCAAAAATTCTTTTTAGGATTATATTTTAGACAATTCATTCAAATAATACACTGATAAGGCATTATTTCATTATGTTTTGACAAAATGAAAATTTTGCAGATGTTTAAATCAAAACCCCATCTGCCTATTTCTCCACATTCCACTTTTGGACATAATCCTTCTTTCAATATGATTTGTCACAGATATTCAGTATTTCTCTGTACAGATTTATAGTACTATAAACATATTTAAAAAAGAATTCCCTCTTTCACTTTCCTTTTCTTTTCCACTCTTAAATCATTTGTCTATGTCATCTTCAGAGTTCTGTCTCCCCTCGGTGTAGACCGATTTGGTTTCTGTAAAAGAAGTACTAGCATCTTTTCTCTCAGGAGCTGCACCAGAAGATGACTTTCGAGCAATCCATGATGACATCGAGAAAGAGGACACAAGTGACTGGCCGTCTTCTGCCAGGGCAGTCTCCAGRACCAAACATATGGACTGCTTTAGCTTCTTCTGGAACTCATCGCACATGAAGACGTAGAGTATCGGGTTCAGGCAGCTGTTCATGAAAGCCAAACTCACAGTCAGAGGACCTATGATATGCAAGATTTCATCTGGGATATGCCTTACATATAATTCTATAAGATTTAAAACATGAAAGGGCAACCAGCAGATGAAGAAGGCAACAATGATGTAGACGATTTTGTGAGATCTCCATTTTCTTGTCCCCTGCAGACGCCTGACACGGACGGCTATGGCCACATAAGAGACAAGTATTACCAGGAATGGGAYGATGAAGCCCATAACAAAACGRAAAATAACCAGACCAATGTAACTTTGATCAGTCTTAGAGAGAGCGTAGTTACAATACCGAACAGTACCATGTTCCATCATGGTACGAAAAATAACATAGGGGGTGCTGCAGATGCCAGCAGTAATCCAGATTACAGCGCAGATGATCTGAGCTTTACAGACGGTKCGCTTGTTTTGTGCCCACACCACCACCCAGATGGACAAGCAACGATCCAGACTTATGGCCATCAGGAAAAAGACACTGGCAAACATGTTGATGACACCCACAAAGTTGTTGAGTTTGCACATGAAATTTCCAAAAGGCCACATTTGATCATGATAGAGAGAGACCGTGGAGAAAACCAGGAAGGTCGTGAAGAGGAAGTCAGCAATGGCCAAGTTGAGAAACCACACAGAGTTGACTGTTCTCTTCATCTTGAAGCCCGTCACGTAGATTACCAGCCCATTGCCAACGGTCCCAGCGACAGTTATCAGACAGTAGATGACCACGGWGAACGTCTTCATGTGGTCGGCTGCTGTCTTCAGACCAGATGGTTTGTTGTCGTCTGATGATAGAAAAAAATTGCAATAGTTGAGAGTTTCTGCAGTGTGCTCTGAGGTAAGAAGCAACTACTTTAGCACTTGTTCTATGTAACACTGATTTCAAATAAATTGTGCCCAGAATCATCTTCCTTAGTTCCATGATACATTACAGTCCCGTTGAGAAACATGTTGGTTGCACACTGGTCTTTGCACAGTTTAGCAAAAAAGCATGATAAACCAATTTCTAATACAAAATGAGAGCAGTACTATTCTAAGTTTAAAGTACCTTACCATTATCCATTTTGCATGCAGCTGCAAGTCTGCCTTCATTCTGAGTTCATGCTTATCTGATCTTACCTAAATTTCTTCTCTCTCTCTCTCTCTCTCTCTCTCTCTCTCTCTCTCTCTCTCTCTCTCTCTCTC